AGAATAAACCAGTTTTATTTAAGAAAGGACTTCTGTCGCTAAAGTTTCGTCGGAACGAAGTTACGGAAAATTAATTAACGACAGGAGGCGTAACAATTAATTGGCTAAGTGTGTTCTCAATTGTGTGGATACAGAGGGATTCATTTTATTTATTTATCCCGTGCGTGGATCAATTCACAATAGTTCACTCTTTTTCATTTTATTACGTGGTCAATAAAAAAAAGACAAAGCGAAATCATCAGCGACGACGAAAATGGACACTCTCAATTACATGTGTTTAAAGTGGACAACCGTTACTCAACAAGTACTTACCGTTACTATCCTAACCTAATGTAATATTAAGTTAAGGATTGCATCATACGAGATAATCCTAATTAACGTACTTTGTATAAAAGATTATTTACTACTTACTTTAAAGTTTTACTGTCTGATACCTACGTGTGTTATCAGTTGTGTGGATGTACAAGGTTTCTTTTCATTCATTTATAGATCTACTGCGTGGATCTTATTATCACACCTTACTATTGTTCAGTTTATTATATTATCTTCTTCTCTGACCTTCTTGGCTATTGCAGGTGCATCGATATTATAGTGTTTGTTGTATGAGAACACGTTATATGTGAACATTAAAAGAGATAGAGATTACGCCATGGTAGATACTTATTATTACTTAGACCAATCCTAACAGCTACGGTCTTACTAGTCTTATCAGCATGGAGTGTAAACCATTAGTGTCTGCATAAAAGAAGGGAATTATTAACTGTTGTTTGTAGAATCCTGTTTAAGAAAACCATGAACTAGAAGCAAACCGTTATGGCAGCATACTGGGAAAAAAAATCTGATCTGGATGCGAAGGCCAGCTCAAGTTAAAAGCCTTTTCAAAATTAATGAAGATCATACAAGAAGTTTGATTTTTATTAAAATTATTAATAATGGTTTCCGAGAGCCACAGAAGTTTATAATGTGTAGAAGAAAGGGGACAAAGTCCAGTCTCTGTATCTTGTAGTAGGTTATGGTTTCTAGGAAATCAGTGTAGACACTTAAAACGGATACACTCCAGTGATGACTTGTTGCTCATAATATCCAATCAGTAATTGTTTTATTCTACGCTCCTCTTCTGTTTCCACTTTTATTAAAATTAGTTCTTACCATCATATCAGTCGTACAAGTGTATCTAGTAAAACCTATCAGTCGTACAAGTGTATCTAGTAAAACCTATCAGTCGTACAAGTCTATCTAGTAAAACCTATCAGTCGTACAAGTGTATCTAGTAAAACCTATCAGTTGTACAAGTGTATCTAGTAAAACCTATCAGTCGTACAAGTGTATTTAGTAAAACCTATCAGTCGTACAAGTGTGTCTAGTAAAACCTATCAGTCGTACAAGTTATCTAGTAAAACCTATCAGTCGTACAAGTGTATCTAGTAAAACCTATCAGTCGTACAAGTGTATCTAGTAAAACCTATCAGTGTACAAGTGTATCTAGTAAAACCTATCAGTCGTACAAGTGTATCTAGTAAAACCTTTGTTGCTCATAATATCCAATCAGTGATGATTTGTTGCTCATAATATCCAATAAGTCATCTGTTATTGTCAAAACCATTCTATAACCAATGTTACTGAATATACAATTACTAGCATGCTTGTGGTGGGGATTAATATCGTATTTGTGTCTCTAACACTGAAGAAACTTAGAAATTGTTCGGATTATTTTTTTGAATTTAATGGTGCTAACGCTGATACGATGCAAGGACAACTTTTTAGTATACATATTCGCGTCTATTAATCGACTCGTTTTTCGGAAAACGTAGCTTAAAGATAAAACAAACACGAACGTAATAACAGGAAACATTTATTAAACGTTTCGGAATCGTCATAATTCCATTTGTAGAGGTACAAAACAAACAAATAATATTTGTAATTACAACAGAAATATACACATGAGAAATAAACAAATCGAATATACAAATATAACATGAGAAAATGAAAACTGAGGCACAAGGGAAACAGTTAAAATAGGTTTAAATCCAGTGAAGAGTGTGTGTTATTTAGGGACGGAAGAAGAGTTTTTATGTATAATGTTTCTTTTATGAGAAGTTCGGTATCATGTTTGCTGTTGAAAGAGTTTTAAAGTTAGATAGAAAAACCGGATGTCCTGTTTCTGTATTGTGTTTACAGATAGCGGAGTTTGGAGAACTTGTAACCTTTCTTCCAGTCTTTTTAGATATGACCATCTGTTCACGCGCTCGTACTTTAACATTCTCAACACAGAAATCGTACAGTACGGTACACGTTAGACTAAAAAGGTAAATCATAGTTCCCGTGTTCCTTGCACCGAAAATAAGGTAAAGAAATAGGATTTTGTTTTATCCTTTCTAAAGTAATTTTGTAGTTTTCTACTTCAGTTCAAGGAAAAAAGAAAAGAAGTTAGTTTAGAATAGGATTAGTGTGCCATTATGGCACAACGACAACTAAAGATTAACAGAAGGAACTCGGTTTATACCGAGATTCCTGAGAGTGCGCTCCCTCATGAGCTATTGAGTGTAGGCGAAGGGGCAGTAGAATGCTTGCAGCCGTTGGGCGGGAGAAAACTATGTTGCTACCCTTACAAGGATAAAGATTACAAGTATACCCCAGCGGGAAGTAACGTAATTGTGGTATGCATCAAGCAGCTACCACTTGAAGTACCAAACGAATGTGTCTCAAGTGCTCTTCTAAATTATAGTAAAATCTTAGGTGTTTCTAGGGAACCTATGAGAATACCAAAGTGTTCACAGGGGCTAGAAGGGTAAGAATGGATATGTCCACTCCTGTCCCCAATTTTCTGTACATCGGTCAGTTCAGGGTAATGGCTAATTACCCTGGAATGAAGAAGTTATGCTCGCGATGTAAGCTTGAAGGGCACTTCGCTGCAGATTGCATAACAGAAATTTGTAATCGCTGCTACGAACCGGGGCACAACTCTGCTAGTTGCAGTAAGGGGTGCAAGAAATGCGGGGAAAACCACGCATTTCATACGTGTAATGTAAGGTCCTTCGTTTATGTTTTAGCAGAAAACGAAGAAAGTAAGGTAGATAACGAAGTTACGGAAGTTCTAGAAAGTGTATTAGATAGAGTAACCGAAAGTGTAAAAAATGAAGTAGTGAGCCCTATAGACAGAAGTGAAAGACAAACCCAACGACGAATAAACAAGGATCAGGAAAACATAGAAGAACCTAGGGGAGAAAATCCCCCTGAAAGACGAAAAATAAAAATAAAACCAAAAAATGCATCAAAAAAGAACACAGTACCAAAGAACAACGGAAAACCTAAAGACAACAAACCAAACTTCACGTTACTGGCAAAGGATTTACTACTTTCTGAGTCCTCCAGCAGCGATGAAGACTAGACAGAAGAAGAAGATACATCAAAAAGAGCTTTATTCACGTCTTTAAAGATTTCAAGGAAGTGCAAGAAGTCCAAGGCTGGGTAAGTCGATAGTTCCTTAAAGTAAAGCCAATAGATAGGAGTACTCCCGGTGTAGAATTGCTTTTATGTTAAATATCCTAAATCCCCACAATGTTATCTAATTTTTTCCTAATCGTAATGGCTCTTGAAATAATCACATTGAATACACCAGGGTTTCTAAAACCCATCAAGCAAAATATGGTAATGGACATAATGACTAGAAACAAGTTTGACATTCTTTTTCTAGAAGAATGTCACTTCTATCAAATAGAACAGTCCAAACTCTTCAATAAAAGTTAGATCATACTGGAGTCTAGGTACACATAAAGAAGCAGGTGTAGGAATAATATTAAGTAAATATTTCCAAGGAAAAATAACAGGAATGGGGTATGACATACAGGAAAGAATATGCTACATAGATATAGATTTAAATAAAAGAAAAACAAGACTAGTAAACATATATGCACCAACAGATCATACTATCAGACCTATGTTTTACCAAAATTTAGAGTAATATCTATTCTGTCCACACGAATTACAGCATAGAAAGGAAACTTCGGATCTGATTAAAGGTTACAGGCCTCTTACATTTAGTAACGTTGATTATAAGATTTTCACAAAATGTATCAATAATATACTAAGCAAAGTAATGAATGACCTAATTAAATCGTTTCAAACAGCCAGTGTCCTAGAGCATGACATTCTTTTTAATGTCAACATGCTGCGGGACACAGCAGAAATAGCTAACAGTAAAGGCTCTCCCACCTGTGTAATTTCAGTGGGTCAGGAGAAAGCTTTTGATAGAATTAATCATGATTTCATGCTATATGTTTTAGAGAAATATGGAATACCATATAATCTTATAAAGTGGATTGAAATAATCTATAGCAATCTCTCAGCAAGAATAAACATAAATGGACACATTTCAGAAAGTTTTAAAATAAAATCTGGAGTAAGACAAGGATGTCCCCAACTTTATATGTGTTAGTCATTGAATGTTTTCTGTCTAATGTTGATTCTAATCCTGAAATAACCGGGGTTCGAATCCCAGGGAATTACGCCACTCAGCAAAAATGCCTTGCACATGTTGATGACGTAACCTTGACATTATTCACAGACGATTCAATAACTAAATGTTTAAACACACTAAACAGCTTTTGTAGCGCTAGTGGATCAAAAGTAAATAATGGTAAATCTAAAAGTTTTTGGTTAGGGAGATGAAGAGTCAGATATAACTCTCCAGCAAACATAAACTGGATCAAAGGTCCTATAAAAATACTAGTTATTTGGTTAGATCCCTATGATCCAACCAGATAACTGGCAGTTAAAGATAAAAGAAATCACAGATAAAATAGATGAATGGAAAGATAATGAAGCTTCACTAATAGCCAAAGCTCAAGCCGTAAAACAGGTCATATATCCTAAATTAATATATTTAGGTCGCACATTACCGTCAAACAGAATAGAAATAAAGAAAATAAATCACATAGTGTATAAATTCATATGGAATTACAAAGCAGAGCGCTTGTCAAGGGAAACAATAAACCTACCAGTTAAAGACGGAGGTTTGGGATTCCCAAACTTTGAGAAATACTTAACAGCAGTCACAATAAATCAAGTATGTAAGATAATGGAGACCGAACACAAATGTGCGTTAATAATGGCTGGAGACAGCTTGAATGGGTAATAACAGCAAATGTACAACGTTTCGACAAGGTTTTGTCATCATCAGCCATTATTAGTCTCAAAGTGGGTTCCTCGTCATCGAATTTAAATACAAATGTGCGTTATTCTACAACCACGCAGTTGGTTTCAGCTCCAAATTGTTTATAGATAAAGCCAACCCACAAGCACTACGAGCTGAAATTCCACCAGCATATCTTAATAAAGTAATAGAATATTCAAAAAAGTTACAAAACGAAAACACACAAGTAAAAACTATATACCATGAATGTACGAAAAATCTATGAGTTTCTAAACCCAAAGGTCCAAACAAAAATAGCAGTACAACATCCAAATGTAAACTGGAAGGTTACATGGACGACAACAAATAATAGGAAAATAGTAGCAAGAAATCTTAGTTATAAAATAGCACACAACTTAGTAAGCACGAAAGAAAGACTACACAGACTTAAAATCATACAAACAAATAAATGTCCCTACTGCCAGTGCATAGAAACAGTCAAACACTGTTTCTATGATTGTGCACACGTAAACGTATTCTGGAGGAGAGTTGCAAGTGTGTTTAATGTTAGTGGATAGAATACACTACTGTGCTATTAAATATCTGTTAATTCTTCACAAAAGTTTTCTTTTCTTTACCTTGTGAGTGAGTTTAAATATCAGATCCGGTCCACGAGGTGTATACGAGAATGAAAGAGAAAGTTTTCCGGTGGTGTGAAGAAAGTGCGAACAAACACCAAGATACGACTGAAGTTAGACTACGCTCGCCTAACGGGAGAAGAGTTTAAGAAGACCTGGGCCCCGAATGAGTCTAGGATGTTCAACAGAAAGGCGAATTTATAGATATAACGTTCTAATGAACAGAAAACACGCTATGTCGACGCAAGCAACGCTCATTGACTTCAAGTGGTCGGCGGGAGAGAGGACTGCGGCGGACCAGCCAACGCTGGAAGTGTGTTTGTTTACGGGACCTGCACAAGTGCTGGGACAAATGGCTCGTGGACCGTAATGTCAGTGACTTTAACTGTGCAGGCCAAATTGTGTTTTGTAATATCTAAAACCGTACTTCCTTTCTCTAAGCAATTACAATGAAATACAAGAAAAAAGAAGCGGCTGGTCAGAAAAAGAAGGATCGAAGGAGTGGAAATCGAAATGGTAAGTATATGTGTAAGTTTACTTCTTTCTTTTATAATTTGTAGATGTGAGGTAAGGTGGAGATATGCCTTACTCTCTTCCCACAGTAAGGGTTCAGTTAGAATAATTAGCGTGTTGACTGAACTGAAGGACCGGTGGCTGGTCTCACGAGATGGAGTCTGGAAGCCTAGTCCTTGTATCCAGGAGAGTTTCCTTGACGATCGCTATACGGAGGTCAACATCTTCAGATCGAGGATTAAACCCTCTGGAAGGGTGATCATTGGGTTGAGATTTTTTAGTGGTTTTTGGATCCAGGAACACAAGGTTTTTTATTGTGTACCTTGGCGCTGTGAAAGCAAAGGTGAGTCCTTGATGTTCTACTACAGTAAGGAAGTTGACTCTTTGTGCAAGGGAAAACCTTCAGTGCTCACATATCTCTGTTTCTGTCCCTAATTTTGGCTTATAGGGCTGGAACTCAAAGGAGTATGTGCTGCAAGTAAGGCCTGTACCTGACACTGAATACTACGACCCGACATGGTTAACAGCGTGGATCAATGATCCAATATTACTCATTATAAGTAATGTTTTAAATTCCAGATATAAGTCAAATGTTGTCAGTAGCCGGGTACCAAGAGTAAAGTCAACATTACAAGTTAAAAATATTCTCTCATTGGCATATCTATTAGTATCTGGGGCTAAAATTGTAAAACGTATTAGTGGTCATAGCATGAGGTACTGGAAGATATTTAAATATAAATATTTATCCAGTATCTATAACGCTTAGAGCAAAAATCTGTGGAAGATGACGTGTTACATAGGTTAAAATAAGGTAAATTTTAGGTAGGATTGAATAAAGCGTGTTGCCCACAGAAACACGCACGTGTGTAAGTAGACGAGATGTGAACAGTGGGCAGTCGGCAAACGATCTTTGTAGCGGAAACAATTTTTTTATTCTAAAGTTGGGTTTCATAATGACTTTCAGGTCAATTTGGAGACAGTAAGTGTTACATAACTTTTTCAACTGTTTCGTTATAAGGGAGCTCTGTCTCCCGAGATATGGTAAGCAGGTGTATAAGGGAAGTTTGGGTACAGTGGGTATCTTAGGTGGTTTGACAAACAAATTAGTCAGGAATGAGGAAGTTATTTTCTCCAAGAAATGCATAGGGTAACCTTTTCGAAAGAGGATGTTTTGTATAGAAGTAATTTCTTTGTGAAGGGCTAAATAGGATGAGGTAAAATTGTAGACTGTATTTAGCAGACAGAGAATAAAACTGCGTTTGAAAGAGAAGGGTATAAAACTGTCAAACTGAGTAAAAAGGCCAGTAAATTTATTTTTACGATAGACATAAGTTGAAAAGCCGTTAGCATCATAGTTAACAAGAACGTCCAGAAAGTGAATAGTTATTAATCTCGATTTCATGAGTGAAATGTATAGAGAGGTGTTGTGAATTGAGATAGTCAAGAAAGCGTTGGATATGATCAATGTGGTAGAAAATAAGAAAAGTGTCATCAGTATACCTTCTGTAGAGAACAGGTTTGAAGCTTAATGAACAGTTGTCAATCCAATTCTGTTCGTGGTGACAGAGAAAAATGTTGGCCAGTGTAGGACCCAGTGGGGAGCCCATAGCAACGCCATCTATTTGCTCATATAGAGTATTGTTAAAGAGGAGAAGAGAGTCTTTGGTCAAGCATAGATTTGAAATCAGACTTGGAAAATCTATTAACCAGAATGTTTTTAACGAAGAGATTAGAAAGTGCAATATTAATGTTTTCGTCCAGAGGAATATTAGTAAAAAGGGAAGTAATATGGAAGCTAGCCATCACATGATCTTTAAGGGAGGGAAGTTGCCTGATTTTTCGGGAAAATTGGAAGTAGTCAGGTGTTGTAAATTCGTTCATAGTAAAAGGTTTTAAAATGGGTACAAATAATTTAGCTATGTTATAACTGTGAGTACTTAATGCGGAAAGTATAGGTCGGAGGGGGTGTCTGGTTTGTGAACTTTTGGCAGACATTATAATATTCCAGCTTGGGATCCTATAGGATATAAAATTATTGTAAACACAACGAGAAATATTATTTCTTTTGCTTATGTTTCTAGGAAATCTCTGGGTTTTCCCTTCAAGGTGTAAAGTATGAGTTAATGGTTCCTTATTTATAAGTTTGTTGCGGTCGTTAAGAATATCAAACATTTTTTTAACATAATCAACATACTTTGTTGAGGATAACAGGAGTTATCCTCAACAAAGAAAGAAATGTACACATAAAGAAAAATGTGTTTCAAAAGCGTTAATTATTACCAGTGGTGTAATTATTCACATTCTGTTTATATCAAAGTTGTATATATAGTATCACAGGCGTAATGGCAAGTATCCAATTTTTATATATATTAAAACTAATTATTTCAAAATAAGTAGGGTAAATTTAGGTATAGAAATAAATTTAGGTCAAAAAATTACCTTTTTTTTTCTTTTTTTACAGACTGGATACCAATATGGTACGACTCCACAGAAGAAATCATACACTAATACGACCAAGTCAACAAGACACTTCTTCAATTATATGGAAATTTTAAAAATAATTCGTGCTTTACAATCCATAGACATCCCCCATCTTTGCCTTTTATTTGGTAATATGGACTCTAACAAGTCATTAATGGTTCATGCACGGTTGATGTATTATACTTTGACCAGAGTAAAGGTCAAACCTTAACCGCAGGACGTTACATTTTCCTACCATTAAAATGAATTAACCAATTTTGTAAAAGTGAACCTTTACTTATAGGTCTAATTCCCTTTACATTTACATTTTTGGAAAACATATTAAAAATATCACCATGCGATATTAAATGCTATGATATCACGACAAGAGTTTCTATTTTTTTTTTAAATTGAGACATAGTTGGTAGCATTATTCCATTTGGTTACATGAATCGATCAAAAAAGTCGTATATAACACCGTGTTCATTAAGAGCTAATTATTGTTAGTGTCAAATTAGATCATTTTTTATTTTGTTATTCAGTTCAAAGTGACGATTGAGATAACATCATGTAAGACCACTAAGTATAGCATAGGCTGAATAACAAATCATTCAAGTTGTATTTCAAACATGACTGACTTGTTTAAGAATGAAGCGACGAGTTTATAACTTATTAAAAGTATAATGTTACAGATTCCAATAACTGTTTTGTTTTGAATAGTGTTAACTATCTGTTTCTGTTATATTAGAAAATTAACATAAATTACAACACTATATATAAGTTCCATCGTTTCGATTCTTTATACCTTCAATAAGTAATACGTTATTCTTTAAAGATGTACTCATCTTTAATATATGTAAAGATCTGTGAGTTCTTCTGTACACTACTTTCAAATTCTACCCAGGATTATCTACTAAAAGTGACAGATTAGCTGAAAACATTATTTGTTGCTAGCTTTATCCCAAGTCTTGATTTAAACTGTGTATTAAAACGACTAATATGAAAATAAAAGAAATTTGAAATATTACAATTGAACTTTGATGTGACTTTCTAATTATGGAACTATGTTGGAACACATCTTATTACTGAATAGCTGTTACTGAGTTTTTATTGATTTGAATTAAATTTTGCTCGAACAACAGTTATTTTTCCTTTTTAGCAATTTCAATGCAACGCTAGTTGGAAAGAATATATAATATTCAATGTGTTTATATACTAGTATTATAACACTCATGCACAATACTTTAGTTTTTATTGTTAAAGAATAGAAAAGTTCAGTAAGTTACAACAGCATCTTGACGTTTATTTATAATTATTGCAATATTTTGAACATATCCCGTATTGTGAATAGCTTTTATTTTTTTTCTTTTAAATTAAAATAAATACTTTAACGCAAGAAAGTTTTATTCATCTGAACAATTTTAATGCAATCCTACATGCGAAGATCTATAATATTAAATCATTTGTTATATTTTATATTCATGCACAATTTTAGTTTTTCTTGTTACAAAATTGATAAAGTACATTACGTTTTTAAAACAATAATATTTTTTTTATATTCCATGGATGATCAACTTTATTAAAGTTACAGGTCAATTGATAACAATTTGTCCTGCAATATTCATCCTTAGTCTTGATTGAATCTAATAATTGATGACATTTTAGGAGTATGTTGTATAAGATATGTTAACAGCTTTTGTTTATTTGAAGTTATGCACAAAGCTACACAAGGTATCGAAATCCGGTTTCTACCATTGTAAGTCCACAGACATACCGCTGTGCCACTGGGGGGGGGGGGAATGTTAACAACATTCAATTTGTAGAATTTGTAGACTGAAGACAAATCTCAAGAAGAGTAGTCTGGGTTGTAACTGTTCCGTCAGCATTGTACGTTAATCCATATTTATTAAGTACTCTCCTATAGTCTTCAAGGAATTTGTCAAAATTTTCCAATTTCAATTGTTTGACGTTGTCTTCGGGCAAAACTGACACGTAGAAATCTGTAAATGATTCAAAACAAAATCTCTCACTGTGAGTAAATATAAAGTTTTCTACTAGTTTTTAATGAATAGTTGTTTCTTTTCCAAACATTTATTATTGGTTTCCCTATATTAACCACTCAAAAATGAACTCAACTTTACCATTTACATTTCTCTCTCGAATTACGTAGAATAGAAAGAAAATTATCATTTCCTGGATTATCCACCGAAACAAATGATTGTTTGATAATCATCTTCGTGTCTGTTTCTACTACAAAACACTTTTAGGTTTGGTTGTTTTTGTAATTAACCACAAAGCTACACAATGTGCCATATATGTTCTGTCCAACACGGGTATCGAAATCTGGTTTCTGACGGTAGAGGTACGCAGACATACCAGGGGGGGGGGGGCTCTACTTTTGTAATTAGAACAACTTTTAAGGGGAACTGCCTTTCCACAACTGGTTGCAGACAGTAAAAGGCAGTAGGAGATGAGACGTTGTGAGTGTAAGCACTAAACTCCATACCCTTAATTGATTTTCCATTATTACTGGTTAGTTTAACATCAGCGTTTGGATTTTGTCTGGTAGATGGAATATCCTCAATGCATTTGAGAGCTATTACCACAGACATTATCCGTTATGACTTTAAGGTGATGACTAGGATTAACAATAGCTTTTGCAAAGAACTTCTTAATGGTTATTTTATATTAAGTTCATTACTGTTTTATAGTGTTGATTTTAATCGTCTATTAACAATTTATGTAATTAATAGTATTGAAGCTATTTATTTCCTTATTTCATTATGTAGCGTGGATGTTTTATACTAGTTTTAACAATTCTTATGAAATAATACACTTCTAGTGTACGTTTGTCTGCACCACTTTTTCTATTATGAATAACTTCTGATCAAATAAAGCTACCTACATAGACCAGAATTAGAATTTAATTCAGTAAGTAATGTAGCTATTTTAATAACTAGTCTAACTAAGAATATTAAATAACAAAACCAAAACTTGTAATGATTAAAAATGCATTAATTTACTAGTTTTATACTCTTGCTGCTATCGACATTTTTGGCCATAATCCCAATAGTATCCAAGTTTAGCGTGAAGAAGAGATTTAGGTTAGTCCTAAATCAAGCTAGCCAATAATGCAAAATAATACTCTTAATAAAAACATGTAATATACAAGTGAAAATTTTATTTATCAAACATACAGTCTCGTAAATAAAATTGACCTTTAAAAAAAAAGAATTGAATATAACTTTATTTCGAAGGCTAAAACAAGTTTACTTCATGTAATATAATCTCAAGGTGACTCAGCAGCAGCAGTTCTAGAGCCTTATAACGCAATAAGATGGGTTTCGAGAGCCCTCGTTGGCCAGAGTACAGATGTCCTGTTGTGTAGCTTTTGCAGCTTTGTACTTAACAACAAACTAAAATCACGCACTAGCTGATACACTTTTACCTGGTATGATCACCATCAGTAACTTTCTGGTACCTACATAACAGTTACCCACCATATCTTCAATCAAACATGATTAGGACTTAATATTAAAAACCCAATTTTCAATAAACAATGATTTATTGTACACAATATTAAACATGACACTATTCCAAATCTTAAAATACAATAAAATACCAAATAACTTACAGTACAGGATAAAAGAAAATAAAAAACGACCAGACTGGAAACACTCTCTTACACTCAACATGTTTTGACGTATTTATTCCATCCTCTTCTGGAGTTCAATGTTTAGCAAGAATCAGAATTATTTACATCCTTACAAAAATTCCCTATAGTACAATTTATGTGTTAGAGAATTTCACCCCATCTGTTGACAACATTTCCACCAGATCCATCACCCTTTTTCAATATTTTAAATTTACTTTTTTAAACTTGATTATCTCAATAGGTTCACGTATATTCATACTAATGACATTTTCAGGTTGTGCTAAAATAACAGTTTTTAACATTGAGCATTTATAGAAACACTAGTGAATTTTAATATGACTATGACTTGTGATTTTAGTTTTAATCTTCATGGTTGTGCTTCCTCAATTGCTTAAAATCTATTTCATTTTATATGCCTTCAATAAAACCTTGATCGCTCAACATTGCAGGCTGTTACCTGTGTTCTCATAAATTGTTTGTCTACCTTTTTCTAAATGATATACTCTGATTACTTTTAAAATGAAAAATATTTCTAATTGACCAAATATGATGTATATACACGTTCTATTAATTGATACATATGACAAAAACTAAGCTTACAGTTTGAATATCAGTACAATTAATTCCTATGTTTGATCAATTTGCCTCCAGAAAACTAATCGTTAATCCTCATCCAAAATGTTTTATTAAAATATGTACGTACTTGCGTAACAGTTAAAAACTGTACTTACCCATGACTTGTTTTTCTGAATCAAAAGTAATGGGTACTACACTTGAAGTTACAGCAATGGGGACAAATCCACATTCGTCTGATAATTTCTTGAATTCAGTACAAAAATCTTTCGACATATAAGTAGCTGGGATATATTTTTCTATCCCCTGTGGATAAGTAGGAGGTTAATTTAACAATATGTATAAACTTTTTGTAACATTAAAATTGCAATTTATTGACAAATAATTCTTCAAGTTACTGAAAATAAACTTTATCACCAATATTAATGTTCGTCTGTCTAAAAGACACCGAAAAACTTTCTTAGATTAATAAAATAAAGAGAGATTGAAACATATATATATATTGTATTTTTAAATAAAATAAGACATGCAATAATATTGTAAGATTTACTTAAAAGAATGGTATTTGTGTTTGTGGCAAAGCTTTTAAGGTTGTTTGCGTCATCGCTA